TATTAAGCATATTATCATTTACCATCTTCAATGTCACTTTGTAATCATGAGTTGAATTAAAAATAGTTACAACTAGAGTATTTCAGCTATTTGATAATGAACCTAAAAAAAAATGCCTTCATTTCATCATCTATCTTAAGCTCTATAGTAGTCGTCCAATTAAATATATCTTGAAAATCACTTAGGTACTCTGTAATAGATCGTCCATCCCTGTACTATAAATTTTTTTAATAAGCATAACTTTATTTGTACTTATTTTTTTTCATACAATACTGTTAATTTTTCTCAAACAGTGTGTGCATCTATCTCTTACGCTATATGATGGAATATGCTGATATCAACTCATTTTTTAATTGTAGCCAGTATCTTTCTGCCTAACTTTTTTAGCTTTTATCTTTCATATATGTTAGTTTAGCCGAATCACCCAATATCAGCTTATACAAATCTTTGCAGTATAAATGATCTTTCATCATAGGTTTTCAAATTGAATAATTTGATGCTATCAATTTTATCATAAAACATGTATCACCTTTTATGATCTCAAATAAAATTTACTTTTATCTTGGGCTATTTTTGTATCGATGTTTCAAAATAACCCTCACTCTGATACCATTTATTGGGCTTGAAGCAATAAACACAATAACGCAGAAATAATATATTATAATAAACCCATAGTAATAGACAACAATCAACAACACATGAAAAATAAAGTATACCAAGATTTATTTGAAAAATCCTTTAGTGTAGAGGAAAGAACCATGAATCACTAAAAAAAATCTTCACTATCAAATAATGGATATAAAAAGTTTTTTTTAGCTAAAACTAGAGCTAATCAACAACTAGAAAGAAACAATTGAAAAAAATCTTACTAAATAGGTGACTCAATAAATACACATTGAATTTGTTCTTAGAGAGCTTCAAACATGATCTTTACCATTCAAAATGTAGAATTCTAAATCATAAACCTGCTGATAAAATTTTAACTCAATCGGATCACAGATCGACTTTCATTCTACTAACTCTCCTTTCTTCATTTTCTCTATTTTTTTTGGCTTTTCTTCTTTCTTTTCTTGGTTTACGACACCACCTTAAAATAGCGACACATCCTTTTATTAAATAGCTAGAGCTCTATGTAAAAAGATAGACCAAGGCGCATGGCCTTTGATTGGTCCAAAACTAATTACATAGGGCTAGACCTTATTTTTTAATAATATATTTGTTATCCAGGTAATATATTAATTGTCCATTCTTTTAGGATGTTTTCTGGATAATTTCATCAGCAGATAGTGTGATGTTCAAGCTTTATAATAGTATTGCTGAAGCACCTGCTAGAAGATGCATAAGCCATCTGGTTTTAGGCTAGTTGATAGGATAGTTCTGAATACCTGTATTGTAGATACTTTTGTTAGCCTATGAAAGTTGTCTTTTGGTTCATAAAGAAAATAACTTTTTTTTATTTATTTTTAAAGGCTTTTAAAGGCTAATATCTTGTATCATTTCTATTTTTCAATGCATGTTTTCTACCTTTCCCATTTGCAGCAACTTCTAGTGTTTCTACTAGGGATTATGGGCCATATTCTAGCCATAACCATCATGAGCAAGCAATAAAACCTTTTGGAATTAATGTGCCTAGGAAGAAAAGAGATGGGCTTACATGAAGCATGATAGCTGTGATTATTCTGTCATTTTTTTCAGCCTTTATTGTATGCTTAGGGATCATTTGGCTTATTTTTTTGAAATATCGAGCTTGTGTCAAAGAAACAAAACATATACCACTAGCTTTAACATTTTCTACGGCCAAACTATCGATACTTCCATCATGACTATATTCTTACAAAGCAGTTCAAAATTGATGAACCACTTATTAAGCTATTTTGTGAAATAGCGGAATAGCGGCCGTTACAATTGTGAACGATGGAGTAGCGGAATAACGACTGCTATTTTGTGATAACATTGATGTCTGCCATAGCTATTGAAAAAATATCAGGTAAGAATGCCATTCATAACCGTAACGACACATCACGGTCGCAAAAAATGGCCTAACAGTAAATAGTCGTAAAAGTAGACCGCTATTGCCGTAACTCTATTTTTTGTCCAAAGAAAAAGAAAAAAAAATCTCAGTTTTCATTTGAGAAAAACTAAAAAACAAAAAATAAAATCTCAATCAAATTCAAAACTTATATTAAGATCAAGCACGAACAAGTAAGGAGATAAGGTTTCAAGTTTAAAAAAAGGTGCACTGCTTAAAGGGAAAAAAGAAGAGAAAGAAAAAAAAAAGGTTATTTCGAGCTGGGCAATGAATGAAGGAGCAGCAGCAGGTGATGGTTGAAACTAGAGGTTGTATTTCAGGTTAGGAAAAAAGAGGACGCCGCTCGTGAGAAAATAAAAAGAAAAGAAAAATGAATTAGGGATTTGCTAAGAACTAAATGGCATAGTTTGAATATTAAGGACAAAAAAAATTAGAAAAACATAAGAAGGCTTGGACCAGACCCATTTTGACACAAAAGTTGGCAACTTATTTTGGTTTTGGGCTCATTAGATTTATGGTTATAGGTTTTAATATCAAAACTTAATTGAATATAATTTTTATACTTTTTAGTTTTTTTATTTGCAATTTGTTCATTTTTAATTCATAAATATAAAATATTTATAAATAACGAGATACATTATTAATAACTAGATAAATATAAAGTTGTTTGGAGTATGAAGAACTCTTATAATGACAAAAAATTATGATTATTATTTTTCTTATATAAATAAAAAAGTCATAAATTACTTAAAAATTATTTAAAAAATTTATGATATAATTATAATTACTATATTTTATAATAAATTGTGCAAAATTAAAAAAAATTCACGACCGCGATGAACACAATGACTATGATAGCAACCGTTATGTCTACAATCGCGATAAATGCAACATGATTGAAAATGAGACCACTACCGCAATTTGAATCCTTGCATAGAACATAATTTGGCTTTCACATATACAGAACGTCTAAAGCAACCCCAGCTACTTCAATCAACATTTCCCTTTGTTTTTTAATTTGTTGCCAAATTTTGTTATGGAATCAGGCTTACTCAAACCTCATTTTGTGACAAATCATGAAATTTAAATTCAACAGGGGCTGCCGGAGCTATGACAGTGCTGCATCAATGTCCATAAGTTCTAGTGGGATGTCATATACAGGATTCGCAAAGAACTTCACCTTAAATGATATAAAAAGAGCTACCAATAGCTTTGATGCCTTGCGGGTGATTGGTGAAGGAGGTTTTGGCACTGTCTTTAGAGGTATATTAGATGATGGAGCTGCAGTGGCTATGAAAGTTCTGAAGAGGGAGGATCAACGTGGGGGACAAGAATTCTTGAAAGAAGTGGAGATGCTTAGCCTCCTGCACCATAGAAATCTGGTTAAACTGATCGGTATTTGCACTGAGGACAATATACGTTGTCTTGTCTATGAACTTGTACCACCAAATGGAAGTCTTGAATCCCATTTACATGGTGAATATCTTCAGCTAAAATCCACATTCATATTTTCCATTGTGTGTGATTAGACTGCTATACACTACAGCTTAGAGATTGTTTAATTCTCTATCTATATTCTCTCAGGAGTTGACAAGGAAACTGATCCGGTTGACTGGGGTGCTCGAATGAAGATTGCTCTCGGTGCAGCTCGAGGCTTAGCCTATTTAGATGAAGACTCCAGCCCCCGGGTTATCCACCGAGACTTCACGTCCAGCAACATTTTGCTAGAACACGATTTTACACCTAAAGTTTCAGATTTTGGATTGGCTAGAACAGCATTAGATGAAGGGAACAAATACATCTCAACACATGTAATGGGAACATTTGGGTATGAACTCCTGTACCATCCTTCCTGAAACAATCCTTTTTAATTTTCATGACTAGTTCTCATTTTTCAACAAAGTTTATTTGAGACCTGCACGATCTCCTGAGAATCAGCAGTCTGGTTTGCTTAGAATGTAGTTATGTTAGTACTTTATTGTTCTTTGTTTCATTTTTTGTTTTCTCACATCCAGAAAACTTATTACTGATAAGCTCCTCATTTTTCAGTTACTTGGCTCCAGAGTATGCAATGACCGGTCACCTTCTTGTTAAAAGTGATGTTTATAGTTATGGTGTGGTCCTACTTGAGCTCTTAACAGGGAGGAAACCTGTAGACTTGTCGCAGCCCCCAGGTCAAGAAAATCTTGTTGCATGGGCTCGTCCACTCCTCACAGCCAAGGAAGGTACAGAAACTGTCATTGATCCAGCCATAAAATCTGATATCTCATCTGACAGCATTGCCAAGGTAGCAGCAATTGCGTCAATGTGCGTACAGCCTGAGGTATCTCATCGTCCTTTTATGGGTGAAGTTGTTCAAGCGTTAAAGCTAGTGTGTAATGAATTTGATGAGAAAGAGGAGGTAGAATCAAAAGTAGGCATCCGGGACCAGGACTTTCCTACCAATGTAGATATATAGTAAGGTTAGTAGACTTTCAAGTGGGCTTTTGGAAGCTTCAGAGACGTATCAGCCAGTTCCTGGCTATGATTTTAGTCATGAGAGCAATATGGCACTGCCACTTGAGGAGCAAGAACTAGGGTCTTTTAGGAGGCACTCATGTTCTGGCCCTCTCGGAACAGGAAGGAGAAGGCATTTCTGGCAGGGCATATAGAAGTTTATCAAGAGGCAGCCGAAGTCAGCATGGATTTTCTGCCAAAATTTGGCCAGGGTCTCCTTCAAATTTTGCTTATAATATCTTTCATGAGAAATTAGAGTTGGTTTTCTTGAACAAGAACTGGGAAATTTACTGAATGCAGACAGATGCTTAATTCTGTCACATGCACCACATGAAAAGTTTTGAATATAAAGAGAAAGAGCAAGAGTTGGAACTTGGAATGTGATGCTGAACCCATATCAGCCAGCCATTGAACCCACATCCTGATAAAACTTGTTTGTGGTACAATTTATTTTCTTTCTGCAACTAATTTCCTTAAGTAAAAAATTAAAAAACAGAAGAGATCTACTTCTTTTTTATCACGTGTTTTTTTAATTTTAATCTGATAAAATAATTAATAAAAAAAAAAAAACACATGATAAAGGAAAGCAGATACAAGAGGCCATGAACCAAATTTCAGTTGCTAACAATCGCAAAATGACAATAGAAATACTCACAAATTGGGTAAAAACAAGCATAACCCAAAAGTCATCAAGGTAAAAATATAAATTAAACCTAGACCGAAGAATAATGTGGAAAAGACAAAGAAAAATATATTTAATGGAGCTTTGTCGCGAGAAATTGACTGGGCCCCTTGTATGCCGCACTTGCACAAAAATGAATGCCTTTTCAAGTGTGATGAAATTAGTTAGTGAAATTGAGGAACAAACAAAAAGGTGGCCGTGGCATAATCGAGCTGAAAGGAACTGCAGCTGTAAAATGAAATGATGGCATACATCAGCACTAGAATGTTGGACGAAAGGACAAAAATGGTCAGCAAGGATATCTAGACTGTCAGAGGAGCTGGCTTCGCAAAATTGTAATTAGCCAGTTAAGAATTATGAGCCGTCAGTTGCTATAATTCTGTTGGACCTTTACAATTAGCAAAAATAGGAATTTTAGTAGTTTAAAAAAGACATGCTGTTACGTGATGAGATTAATAAATGAAAATATCATAAAATTCTACTTCTATTCTCTCCAATTTTCTGATCTATTTCTTCTTATTTCTCCTATCTTCTTCTTCTTAATTTGGTTTCATCAGTCACCGCTAATTTGTGACATCAAGATATGTAACTCTCACCATAACAACAGGCGCAACGCAAGCATCATCAAAACACAAAGAACATATACATATATATATATATATTCATATTAAAAGATGAAAAAATCTTATTTTTATTTTTAATTATTTTTTAAAATATACTTTAAAAATATGTATCACTTTCGTAATTATTGTAAAGTTAAAAATTTAACTATAATTTATCATATATATTATATGAGAGATTGTTTTTTAAATTGTCAATAAATTTATAGACTGCACAAGCAAAGTTAATAATGTGATATATGATTTTTAAATTATATTTAAAAAAGGTTAATATTATAAATGATTTTTAAATTATAATAAAATATTTAATATGATATTTAAATTATGAATTTATTAATTAAAATAATATTTATCTTTAACATGATTAATTATAAATGATGTCACATGACAAATAATTTTTTAAATATTATGTTAATTAATAATTTTATAATTTAAATATTATATTAAAATTTTTTAAAATTTAAATATTACATTAAATATTTTATTATAATTTAAAAAATATTCGTAATATTAATCTTTAAAAAAATAAAAATAAAAAACAAGACATGTGTCAATTTCTTAATCTCTTAACCTCATTTGTCGAATTAAAAAATTAAAAAATTAAAAAATTGCCCGTAGGATGAAAAAAATACTAACTCATTTTATTTTAATGAGTTACTCATTCTTCTTTTGTGGGGCTGGAGTATTGGGTCCCGTTTGCAGATGAAGTTACTCCAGATGAAGCACTGGATGATGTATCAATGCTGGTGTTTCCGTTTTGGAAGCTCCTAGATGCCGTAGCTGGGTTTCTTTGAGGATTGTTAGTTGCCGGCATTTGCCCTTCCTCGGCTAGCTTTCTGAGAAGGTTTATAACGGTGGGAACGAACTTGGTAGATAAGGAAAGAAGCCCAGGTAGCTGCAAGCATAAAAACCAGTAAACAAGTCCTTCAATCAAAAGGAAAGGGATGAAACAGATTAATCTCAATGAAAATAGAAATAATCTGAAGGATTAAGGCAGTTTTATAGTTCGTGATGGTCTCATTGAGAACAGTACAGAATACCATGCTACTGAAATTTGCTTTTTTGAAATCCCATCCGAACAGCAGGTTAACACACTTCAATAATTAATTTCCAACTATGATATACATAAGTTATACTAATACTTATGAGCTGCAAAAATGGAGACCAATGGAACATTTTAAAATTAGTAAAAAGAAAAGATCCGACAACTGTCTAAACTGAAGCAAATCTCTCCATCAATCTGCTTTCGTATTTCAAGTTTACATACCCAAAAGGCCAAAAGTTTTTAAATATTTTTGAAGTAAATTGTTTCAACATAATTTTAAGCATGCTCAAAAATAAACAGACAGAAAATTTTAGTTTGATACTCACAGCGCCATGGCGGAAATCACCAGCAATGTCGAGCTGTATCCATAGAGCTTTCATAATTAGGAAACCCACAAAGATGAAACCCACATATAAAGGATTTCTGCAATGAAGGGATACTTGCAAGTAAGCACCAGTAACGGACAAGGATAATATCATTGAATACCAACCAAAATTAATTCAAAGCTACAAGTGCAACATGCAACCTTAGAAGAGTCATAAATTCATTAAATCCCAAGATAATCAAGGCCACAATTGCCCATGGAGGTGGCAACCAGTTGTTGCCACGCTTGTTGGCTTCCTGAAAGTAGAAGAAAACTAATCCTGCATCAGTAAACTCAGGGAAAAAAGAGATGCATTGGCAATAACATGTCTACCTAAACCAAAATATTAATTCTGAAAAAAAAAAATTCCAGTGAATAACACTTCACAGTAATTATGTATATGCTGCAATGAGGCGGTACACATGCAAAATTAGGGAAACACAACAGTGTTTCTGGTGCAACATTTAATTGAAGCGGCAACAAATCATGCAATTTAACTAATGCCGGTTAAGGTGAATTGCAATTGCAATAGACATTTTTCTAGCACTTCTTAAGACAATCTGACTATTATCAATGCAGCATTAGAATTTAATTTGATGTCCGACATTTTAGTTAACATAATGTAATGACAATTCAAATCAATATTGGACAGGGAAGGGGAGAAAATGAAATCTCCAAGATTATTAGAATTTTAAAATTCATGCCTGAGCTGAAATGGCCTGTGTGACACTGTACTCCGTCTCTGCCCTGAATTGACGCCACAATGACTTGCACTGGACAGGCGTGATCAATGTCTTGGCAGGTGGAACCTGTACCAAACAAAATCAGTCATAAGAATTAATCATGCATAATACATTGAAGAAAAGACAAAGCGTTCAAATAATGAAGATACAGCTCGAGAATTACAGAAATGTATCAGGACCCTAGGGTTGCCTCGTCATTATACATTTAGCAGCGAATGCCACACAAATTTGGTATTTATGGTAATATTCATTGTCAGACAAACCCAGACAACTGTAATTTTCCATGTTTAATCCATGTGAGGCATAAAAAGGTCAATAAATGGTATGTATGAAATGATCAAGCAGTTAACATAGTTCAACAAAATCTCATAAAAATCCTCAGTATGAACCAGACTTCACCTCCTCCCAAGTGCTTGATGCCAGTGGATCGAATGTTGTAATGCTCCTTTTAGTCAGAGCAGCATTATTTTTGGTATCCATCAAGGCAGAACATAGCGTATTCTCAATATCATCAACACTATCATCCAACCGAATTGCAGCCATAACAGATAGCAACTTTAAGGACTGGCAGTAGATAATACACAAGTTTAGCAGAGGATAGAACAAGGAATAATTCTTAAAATCCAACAAACAATAATACATAAACATACTGCAGAGCGAGCTGTTTTAGTGATGGCTCGAATATCTTCATTCCCAGTCCAAACCCGTGGCATTGAATCAGAATCATGACTAAACAATGATGAAAACCTGTATGCAAATTTACAGTCAATTTAGATAATGTATAATGTCTAGGAAATCAAACACTTTAACTCAAACATTGAAATGTGTTATTACCTGTCCTTCATAAGGATCAATGCCCTCCCAGCTGCTTCTCTTGCTTTTGCTTCAACCACACCTCTTGCACAATCCTCTAGACTCTTTAGCATCTTTTCCTTGGTTTGTTCATCCATGTCAAAACCGGAGAGGGCACTGGACAGTCCAGGGACAGCTGATTCAGTTTCACGCTGGAGAAGTTTCCTTATTGATGGCCAGGTTTCCTTGTTAGCTCCATCTAAAAGTGCTTCAACAGGTCCAGATAATGCATCGTTCAGCTTTGCCTGCAAATGTACCATAATTATCAGTATGATTCCAAGTGGTGATTAAACCAGTCGTAAACATGTGCTGTGGATGTTACCATAACAAATTCCTCAAATGTTATGGAATTCATCAACTATATATAACATAGAAATCGAGCACACAAGTTAGAAGTAATCACATCACATGCCATCAATATGAAGTAATTGGTTTACCCTATGTAGAATATCAGAAGAAAAACAAAATACTTAAGGGCCCAAATTCATGGTCTTCAAAAGAATTAAACTAGAAATTCCAGGCCTTTCTTATTTAGACCTAGATAGTAGATTGGACACCGATATGTAAAGTTTTAATAACCCAACTTTTTAATATGACATCTTAGTTAATTGGCTTCAATAAATTCTAAATTAATTCACATTGTTTTCAACAATGTAAAATTTTCAACAACTAGCAAGACAGCGAAGTTTTAACAAACCAGCTGTTTGATATGACATAATTGATTGGGCTAAAACTATTTTTAAAGTAATGCACATCATTTGCAACAATTTGAAGTTTTCAACAGCCAGCAAGATAGTGAAAGCAAAGGTCGTAACACCACAGTATCACCTTCAGTTGACCTTGCCTCCTTGTAACCCAGCTCACACAACTTCAAAATGAGACACAAACTCCTGCTTTAAAATTGTTAGGTTAAACTATCCCTTACTTTTCATAATATTGCTTCATTGTTTAGGATTACTCAACAGCAAGTAATTTGGAATGTCAATAAACATGAGGATAATCACTTAAATAAAGTAAATGGTTAGAAGGGCCGGAAAGATAAGTTGTCATACCTCATATGAAGAAGTAAGCTCTGCAAGCTTGGCAACTCGGACAGAAGCAACATGTGCATCAATATCACGACATAGTTTATCCCTGACTTTAGAGGAATCCCAATTTGCTAGTTCAACAACAGCATCTGCAGAAATGTTGTCAAACTCTAAATGTACTCAGTCTATCTTATCAAGTGGGAAAAAAAAAACCCTCAATGACTCATAGCTATAGTACCAAACCTATTAAATGCAAAGAATATAGTGAAGGCTCATCATTTGATATTATGGATCATAGTAATGGTTTAAAAACTCACTTTTGCTTTTATGAGTTATTATTGCCCAGCAAACCTTTTTAATGAATTTTTTCCATTTCATAGCTCTTGAACTTGTGTTTTGTAGCTTTGTTTAGATGTCAGTTCATAGCTAAGAGAATGATTAATGAAGTCTAACCATACCTGCATATCCTTCGTCAAACAAAGCCATGTAACATTCAGTACAGTTGCAAGCAGCCACAGAAAACTCTTCCCCTCCATTCAAAGCCTTCTCAAATGCTTCCTTAAATTTTTCAAGAGTTTCAGACCTTAAGTGTCCTAGCATGGATTGGTAGGCTGGTTGGACAAGCTAAATCAGAATACAAAAAGCAAATGAGTTGAAAAAATTTAAATAACGAACAAAAATTGGACAAGAATACAGTAGAATGCTACTACTTGGAGCAGTTTTTCTTCAAGGTGCTTTCGCTTTGCAGATCTGACACCTTCATCAAAATATGCGGCTTCTGCATCATACCTAAAATCAGAACAAAATGAAACAAGAACTCAGTGTCACTGATGTGGCAGCAAACCATGGTAAACCAATACGGAAAAACCAACAATCTTAAATTTTATCATTTGAACAGACTCTTATTTGGCCAAGGTATGCCACAGGATATTTTTCAGGCACCCATTCAATCAAGCAATATACCATTATAACCATCATGAATCACAAATCATCAGGCTGGCAATCAGTTATCATGACATTCCTATTTATTGTTTAGTATCAGAGTTTTGCACAGCCACTTTGACAAAAGGAATCACTGCTATAATTTCTTTAATACTCAAGAGGTCTTTGCCTAAGTCAGCTCAGCTCTTCCAAATGCTTACATAGATAGTAGCCCATTTATAACTTAGAAACTGAAACAAATATCTTGATCTCATTAAAGTAGTCTTACTCTGATAAATAAGCGTAGAGAATTGAATTTAGCTTCTTCCCAAAGCCAGCAACTGGACCAGCCCGTACAGCTTCTTCTAACACACACCATGTCTGTCATATGAAGTACTAGGTTGGCTTCAGTTTCTATAAAAAAAGCCAGCTCCCAAAAGGATGTTGATCTGTGTGTGTACATGCAAATATTTATGAATAAACACATATTTACAAGTCCACATACCTCATTTGCTGTGAAACCAGCAAACTTTTCGTTGGCGATTTCTTCACAGCGTACTGTAGCCACCATGACCTGCAGGCAAATAAAGCATGGATGACAGAAAAATGAACAAGATTTACAAATTTCATTTAAGTTAAAGTCAAAATAATGTCCAAATGCTTACCTTATGGGCTGGAAGGTCAAGGTCCTTATTCTCCTTAATGACTTTCCAGATCTGTTGAGAACTAAAAGAGAACCCTGAAGCAGGTACTACTCCCCTCCGATCTCCAGCAAGCCCCCCCGGTGCAATAGAGTGGAAGAATCGTTGTCTCAAATTAGCAACCTTGAATAGTAATAATAAATCAGACAAACTGCACATTTGCATGCCATCTAGTAAAAAAATTTCAGCACCATCATCCAACATACACTCAAAATTATAAATACTAGGTAGAGTTCTTTTAGTTTAGCCATCTCCAGAAAAAGTAAACTACATAGAACAACCAGGAAAAGTGAAAAAGAAATGCAACAACATGAATGATATCTACTTCTTTCTTTCCATTTAAACAAACTTCTAAACAGCCAGTACTGTGAAAATTTCATTAGCATGCAATGAATACTGAATGTCCTAATTAGATGACCTAAACACAGACAGGGTACCTGCTCCTCAAATTGCTCTTCCTTTTCTTCATAACTAGAAAGTGCAACAACCTCAACCTGGGCATTATCAGCAACAGCATTAAATTATCAGAAGCAATACTCATCAGAAAAGGTATAGAGAGACATTAAACATTTAAAATTATGTTGCATCAAATAAAAACCCAACATCATACATTAAAAAATTCACTTAATGGGGTTTCCTTATGTGCTTCTGGCTTAGGAACTGAGTCCCATATCTGCAGTTCAAGTGAAATGGGTCAGAACAAAAAATTACTTACATTAATTAGAAAAGCAGCGAAGCATAGGCACCAAATATCTTTACCTTCTGAATGTCTTCTCTCAAAACAGGTTCTAAATTTTCCAGTGGAGTCTGTCAACAAGGAGTGTTTAAGTAAACATAAAATTGACATAAGAAAATCCTTAATTATATATAATAACAATATAAAGCTAAGATAAAGAAAAATTTTAAGGAAAAAGGCGAAAAAAACAGCTCTACAAGCGCAACATGCTCCATGATAGAAGAAAGGTACCCAGTACCCACCCTTGTTTTATCACGAATGACAAACATCAAAGTCGTTTTGCGGGGACTAAACAATCGCATCATAACCTGCAACCAAATACAGCCAATTAAATAACAGAACCAATTGATATTGAGGGCACTGCCTAGAAAGGGCAGCAAGATCGTTAATACCTGGAATACAGTCTTCAAAAGAGGCTTATTTGCAGCTTGCTCACGACCAATATCATGACACCACCTAAATGAAAGTTTTCTCAAGAATATTACTTGGACATACTACTGATGGCAATTAACTTACAAATGAATGTACAAAACTATATAAAGCACCATGTAGGTGCCAAACCTTACATGTTTATCAGTACTATATCTGAAACTGCCAGTGCAAAAAGTGCGCTTTGTTTTTCAAATGCTGTGTCATCCTGGAATAAGTCAAAAAAAAAAAAAAACGATATGTAAAAAAAGCAAGAATCTCTTTCCTCCCCCCTTTTTCATAAAACAAAGGAAAATCAGATAAAACTCAACAAACAAAAATACACATAGCTAATCCATTTCATATTCAACTTTTATAATCTGAATTCCAACTATTGATTTAGTTCAGCTTGACTCATTACTATAGCTTTCTCGTTATTAGAGCAGCAAGACCTCTGTTAAGACATTCAAAAATCAGTAAGGCTTCTTTTAACTAAAAAACCCAATGTAAATTAACAAATTTTTTCTTTTAAACATTATCAATTTGATTTCTTCAATTTCAAATACAATCTATTAATCCATGTCCCTGAAAAACATGCTATTGGATAAATATCACCTAGGATAGAACCTTATTACAGAAAAAAAAGTAACATTTAGAATTAAAAGCTTGGACAAAAATAAAACTAATGACTGACCTTTAATTTGATTTTACTCTTATGGTAGAACAAAAATTCATTCGATTTTACAACTATTCCTACAACTACCAAATTAGTAGAGTCACCAATCATTGAAAATTTGTAAGAATTATTTAGAGGATGTAGTTGATAAATTGCAACCAAATCAGGGTCCTGCAGAAATACCTACTTGATTAATAAATCAAAATGTGTATCCAAAACTACTCTTTTTTCTTTTCCTTTGGGAGCAGGGGAGGGACATCCTGAATCCTATGTTTTTAGAAAACAGGATAAAAAATCTTTAAGCTAACAAGGTAAAATGAAGGGAAATAACAAAGCAAGCATATATATTTATTGGTATATAAAATCATGTAGTGTTAATTTTCGGAAACCATATGCTAATGATGGAAGCATGCTAGCAATCAGCACCTCCCCGCGTTCTCTTCCATCAGTACCCTCTAAATCCATTACTAGAGTGCAAGGCTCTATACCAGCACATTTTGCCATCCAAATACCTTTGGTGGTTTGAGACCTGACAAGAAGCAAATCCCATTAGTTGTTTGAACAAACTGAAACAAAAGCAATGTGTTATCAGAGAAACATAACTTACCTTCCCTTAAATGCATCCATTTCCCTGAAATTGGTACCAAATAAATGATTTAACAGTGTGCTTTTACCTGTCAAGATCATGGAAAACAAAGTGACATTTTAAAATGGCACAACTAGAACTTACATAGCTACCATAAAATGATAAAACACGAAATAAATAATATCAGCCGGTGGTGTGCAATAGAATCAAAATAATAATACGACAAAGATATAAAATTAATTACAGAAGTAATCCAACAATATCATGCAGAAACAATTTCATATCAAAGTGAGATATGAAAAATATGCCTTTGCCGAAAATTGATGTTAGCCAACTTCCAGCTAATCATACTCTCAGTTGTATCCGACATATTTCAAATTCAGTATCACTAAACAAAATGTACAACAAATAAATGAAGCAGCTTAGTACGAACAGAAACCTTAGGAACAAGGAAAGCATAAGTACAAAGCAGGATGTCATGAAGATATCAAAGCATACCGCTGCTTTGCGGTCCCATGATGGAAACCACAGCGTAGGACAACCCACATTCACCAAGTTTTACTTCCTTGATAAAACGTTCGATTCCAGCATCATTGAATGAACCATCTCCGTCAATAAGTTGAGTTGAACAGCATTCCTCACTCTTGGCTGAGAAACGAAATTTTCATAGCATATGTAAGTAAAGAGAAGAAAAGAAAAGCTTCCTAGTTCCAACCATAATACATAACATTAAACTGCCCGATTCATTTTTCCTTATTCATTTAAAATTAAATTCTCCATATCAATTGATCAAGGAAAAGATATTTAAGAATGCCTCAACAAAAACAAATAGTATATTCATTAATTTTGATAGAGAAATTTGATGTATTAAATATCTAAGGAGCTGATAATTCACAATCCAGTTTTCTTTTTTTCATTTTCCTTAACTTTCTCAGCAACCAAACATGCAATAAACATAAATTTCATCTCCGGTCCCGATCCAAACATCACAATAAATTTCAGATTTACATAAAGAAGCTTTTGAAAACATAAAAATCAAATTCAAATCCAAATTTTCAAGTAAAACAAATCGCATTGTCCCCTTAAAGAAAATCATTAAGGCGGCATTGCATGCTTTAACACTCTCCTTCTCGTTACATTACAGAAATCAAACAAAGAAACCGAAAAATTAATTAATTGACGAAAGGAAGAAACGAATCATTGAAACTAGCAATAAATTAGAGAGTAAAATAATAAATCACAAAAAAAAAAACAAAAAAAAAAGAAAGAAATTAAGGTGAGACGATGAGAGAATGTACCCATTGAATCTTCTTAGAAATTGATGAGTTCATCGATTTCAATGAAAGACAGACATACAAAGAGATCTCAAAAAGGCATATTTTGAAGCTCCTCTTCCGATAAAGGCGGGCTTGACTGGACCTGTAATAAATAGCGGAAACTGTAATTGTCCTCCGGTTTTGTACAGTGACCAATCATGTTTTGCCACAGCATGAAAAAGGATTTTTATCATTTTTTTTGAAACAGCTTTTTTTTTTCCTTTGTTTTTCTTTATTTTTAAAGGGGTTTGGTTGGTACTTTACATTATCATGAGTACATTCAAAGTGTAAATAATTTTGTTTGCTAAGCTTAACCTGCACTTAATTGAATACTAATATAAATAAAACATGAATGAAAGGCGAATTTTACAAAAAAAAAAAAATTGTCGTTTAACTGAAACGTTGTACTTTCCAAGTGGATTTTAACATTTCCGATAGATTTTTTCCAAACCAGAAGAGGATCTAACTTGAATGAGAATTTTCACTGTCACCATGATTCATCTTTTCCTAAAGCGTATTGAGGTAGAAATTGAAAGTATAAAGCCTGAACTTCATCAGGGAACGAGTTCACAATAAATTGCAAGGATGGAAAACGGGATTGATATCACAGGGAGGAAGGGAAATTTTAATAAAAGCTGTGGCTAGTGCTTTGCCAACAAATATGATTAATTGTTTTAAGCTGCCAAAGAAGATGTGTGAGAAGATCAATAGAGAAATGGCTGGATTTTGATGGGGGCAGAAGCAAGATGAGAGAAAAATTCATTGGATTGGTTGGCAAAGTATGACATGCAGCAAGGATAAGGATGGAATGAGGTTTAGAGACTTAAACCTGTTTAACAGAGCATTGTTGGCAAAACAGGAATGGAGAATAGTACAGAACCAAAAGGGGTGAAGATCCTTAAAGGAAGATATTTTCCGAATAGTTCTCTTCTGGAAGCAAAAAATGGAGCAAGGGCTTCGTGGACCTGGGCAAGCATTTTAGAAGGTAGGGAACTTTTAAGAGATCAGTTATGTTGGCCGATGATAATATTAACATGTGGAGGATAGGTGGATTCCAGGAAGTGATGCACTGGGTCAAAATGAGGGTGGTGAACAAGCACAATTTCCTCAAATGGCGTCAGATTTAATTGACAAAAATAAATTTATTTACGTAAGACCTAATAAATTAATAAAAATTATTTTTACACGATTTTTTAACAGATTTAAGTTTAAATAATAAAAAAACACTTTTTTTTTTGTTTTTTGAGCCCATCATCTCTTGGTAACCTCTATCTATCATTTTATTTTAGAACAAAACTAACATTTTGCAAAAAAAATAAAAAATGTAAAAACAATAAAGATGGTGTGTTTTAAGCCCAAAATCTAGAACTAGTTGTGAAGTAAATATAAGTTGGTAAGAGAGAGAGAGAGAGAAAAAGAACAGCCCGGACCCTTAAATTTAATTGGTGTTTCCTCTCTCGTATCAAAAAGTTTACTCTCCCTGTCACTCAATCTCAAAAGCTTTTTCTCCGGTCTTAAAGTCCCCTCTGTCTCTTATTTATCTGTCCATACCACCTTCTTTTTGCAGCAAATCTAACTTTTCCCATTTATTGTAATCTCTTCTTGAGGGTTTCATTTTTAATTCAGAAGGAAAAAATGACGACTACTTCTGTGAAGAACAACGTGTTACCTCCTGGCTTGGTTAGCAATCTCCAGGAAGTTCTTCTTACTAGAAAAGGAGGAAACAACGGCAGCAGCAACAACAACGATGAACAACAAAAGGATGATACTTTTGGTGGTGATTCTACTGAGCCATCTACTTCTACTTGTAATGAAAAGGCTGCTGATGAAAACGACAGCTCTAAGCCTGTCGTTTTGGTTACCAACGGGGAAGGAATTGATTCCCTTGGCCTTGTTTATCTCGTTCAAGCTTTGGTCCGTTCAGGCATCTACAATGTCCATGTTTGCGCCCCTCAATTGTGGGTCTTTCTTTCTTTTCCTTGAAATTACTCCAATTTTCTGAATTCTCTGGTTCGTTTTGTCGTAGTTTTTGCATTTGCTCATCTGGGTCATCTCCAATTTCGGACTTTCTTGTTTACTTCTCATTGTTTATTTACCAGGATATGTCGGTACCCTTTTTTTTCATCATTTATCAATTTTTTGCCATTAGAATAGAAAAATATGCAAATTTTCTTTCACTCATAGTAACTTCTTTGTTTTTGGTTATGTGTGCGTCATAATTTTCTTATTTGGAAATGTCTGTTACATCAAATTTTCATTGTTCTGCTTTTTATTAATTTGAATTTATTATCTAAAAATATTTCATTTCTAATTTTTGGCTATTGAATTTGGTAATTTGCTGTGATTTATTAGTTTCTGAATGGATTGCTTTAGGGACAAATCTGTTTCGAGTCATTCCATGACTGTCCGAGAAACAATTACTGTTACTCCAGCAGAAATAGATGGTGCCACAGCTTATGAAGTATCAGGTGCGATGATTTTGCATTTATGTTATTCAATTTTCCTGTCTAGTTATAAGTATCTCAGTTTTCTTGAATTGGGATATGAAACCGTATTATTGTAATCAGCCAAGTATAGTGTGTCAGAACCATCATTTAGATGATAAAATTTTGCTTTGAAACGGAAGTTTTCTTACTATTATTTGTTACCCTTTTTTCAGATACGTCATTATATGATTGCGAGCTTGTATAAATTTGATTTGGGTTTGAGACTTGAGTTAACTTTGATGATGATCGGCTTCAATGATGGTTCTCTGCTTTCAGGGACTCCTGTGGATTGTGTCTCCTTAGCATTGTCTGGGGCGCTGTTCTCATGGTCAAGGCCAATGCTGGTTAGGCTTTCATCCTGTTATCAATGAACTAAGAATATAATTTGTTTTTAAGGATTTATTGACTAATAGTATATTTGATGTAATTTCCAGGTAATTAGTGGAATCAACCGGGGATCAAGCTGTGGTCATCACATGTAAGTCTTTGAACAAGCCTGCAAGATAATACTAATTGAATTTTGCTTTGTTTTTAAAGGTTGGACTACTACCCTCTTACTTGATTTTTTTTTTTGTTCATAAACTACCCTCTTAATTGATTTTTTGTTGTTTTCTTGTTAGTTTACCGTCAATCCTTGTTTGCACTTGTTTGGATGCTAAGTGTATTTATAATGTGTAATATACCAGGTTTTACTCAGGTGTTGTGGCTGGAGCTAGAGAAGCATTAATTTGTGGTGTACCATCATTGTCAATATCGCTGAACTGGTGACTTACTGTTTATGGGGATTTAATGTCTACTATTTTCTTTTTCCTTTTCATAATTGAATGTTCTTTTGAGTGTTGGGTACTATTGCAGGAAGAGGGAAGAAAGCCAAGAAAGTGATTTTAAAGATGCAGTTGCTGTTTGTTTACCCTTAATAAATGCGGCCATTAGAGATATTGAAAAGGGTGTTTTCCCTAAGAGTTGCTTTCTAAGTATAGAAATTCCTACTTCTCCTTCTGCAAACAAGGTTTGCTTTCCTTATTGTAGGAACATAAATAAAATATGATTGTGATAATAGTGATGTGATGTATACTGATGTCTATCATATTTAAAATGAGATATAATAGTGGTTTTGGTCTTTAAATTGTGGAAATAAACTAATGATGAACGTTTGAGTATCATTGCTTCCTCAGCATGCCCTCAGCAATCTTGTTTATATACAACTGTTTAAAGGCAAATTACATTCTATTAGATGAAACATTGTAGTTGATGGTGATGATAGTTTTCTTAGGTTGGGTGTTGAGTATTACTGTTTTTCAACTGTCTGTTGTGCTTCTAATGTTAAGAGAGGCAAAATTTTAGGGTTGCTATCTTCATAAAAAAGTCTTTTGTTAGAGCTGAGGAGGAAGATCTTTGCTTATGCCTTAGATGAATAGATCTGTTCATCAATTCATATTCATTTGTTTGTTTATAAGTTATAGCATGAATTTGTGTGGGAACTCTTATAGTCATACTACGCATATCAGGTTTAAATTATTGAGCATTCTTGGAATTGCTTGTTTATATAAATGTCCCTTTTTGGAGCTGTCTAGCTCTTCTTTTAATTTTCTTAGATATAGATATTTGAGTGAGAGTAAGGTTTATTTCCTAATTCTAATGGATGGGTGAAGTTTCATTGCTTATTAATCAAAGAGCCAGTTGTTCCTAAAGGCAGCATTATTGGAGGCTATTAGACAAGGATCTTGCCTTATCTTCTTTAATATAATTAAAATTCTTAGAAAACATCGTAGTAGCGTATAATCTGGTAGGAAGTTTCAGGTCATGCTCTTTATTGATGAATTGCAAGTTTCCCTGATGTAATTTCCCTTTTAAAAGATCAGCATGCCAACTGATTGGCTGAAAACCTTTTGGAAAATCAAATTTGTGAAGCTTCAAGTAGAAAACATCCAACATTCCAACTTGTGAATGGAAGCTTCATTGAATATGGGAAAGCTTTAAATCACCCTTGTGAGGAAGCATCATCGTGTTATTTGGATGTTCTGTAGAAAAGTACATTTGGGCAATCCAAGTTCCAAACAACATATTTACTAAAATATGCTGTTTTGGAATATGGATACAGTAATGTTAAACCGTCTGAATTTATAAGTTCAAATTGTGTCCGACTAGACACAAAAAAAATGGCCTTTGAAGTTTGATAGAGTTACACAATATGTCACCGTGTTTGGTTGGACACAATTCGGACTAAAATTTTCGGACTGTGTAACTACTCTTTTAGATAACATGTCTAGTTGTGCCTTTTTGTTACTTTTAATGTCTTACACATAAATTATGATGGATGGAGTTTGAGCCCTAGTTGGACTTCATAATCTATTCTGGATGACTGATGCTTCATACACAATTGATCTGCTTTATTGCCTTAAGTTTTGATCTTTCTATTGGTAATATGTACCTGCTTATTTTTGTTCTACTGGGATAACTCTATATGATAACCGCATCAACTAATTTTTTTTTTTTTCAGTATATTGTTTGTTTTAAGAGCTGATCTATTTAATGACCTTTTATGTTGATATAGTGTCTTTTTTATCAGATTCTTTCATAAAATCTGTTTAGCTCAATATTCCTTCTTTTTCTTCAAGCACAATGCATGATTTCCTTACATGAGTTGCATGCTCCCTCCCCCGCTCTTACTGTTATGTGTAGTTATTGTTTCATCTTTGCTGTATACTTTGCATAAAAAAGAGAGGAAATGCTGCCTATTAGACAAGAATATGTACTGCTATATTTCTTTCTTTTCAGTATGTAATTTCATCTGGTCTCGTCTTTCATCTATTCTTGCTTATTTATATGTGACAGGGTTTTAAATTGACCAAGCAAAGTGTGTGGAGATCTGCTCCAAGTTGGCAAGCTGTTTCAGGTAATCGGCATCCTTCTGCTGCACATTTTATGTCAAATCATCAACGTCTTGGGATCCAACTTGCACAGCTTAGCCGAGATGCATCTGCTGCTGTAAGTTTTTCCTTTTATTGAAAGGGATTAAATCATTTACTTCCCCTTCCTCAATCCCCTTTTTTTCATGTCCACATTATATATATATATATATATATATATATATATGTTTGAGAGAAAAATGTTTAGTGCATGCATTTCTTTATGTTAATCTCTTTAAATCGGAGGATCAATATTTTTCTCACTATTTACTCTTGGTAATGTATGCATATTCTCCTCAGGGTGCTGCTCGCCGCTTGACCACACAAAGGAATAATGTGGAGATAGAGTCTGTTGGGGCTGTTAAATCTGATGCAAATAAAGTGAAAAAGTGCTTCCGAATGGAGGTAGGAAAAATTCCAACTAAGAAATCCAAAAGTTCTGAATTTCCATAAAACCAAATTTTTATTGTCTTTGTAGTTGGTGAACCTGAATGAGAAGTCCAATTTTGAATTAATATTCATTTTAAGATATTTTCAACTCTTCCATAGAATTAGGGTTTGCCTACTTAGGAATCTGTAAGAGGGAAAAGGCAGTTGTCTCATAAATGTTGCATATGCATCTCAAAAGCTTAAAACCCTCCCTTTTTTTTTTTTTTTTCCAATTTTTGCTAGCTGTTTCATCAATCTTTTTCATTATCCATGAATATCTTAGCTTTGATGATTACAGTTGATGTGGGTTTATATATTTTACAGTTTGTAGATAAAGAACAGGAAGACACAGACGAGGATTTGGATTTCAGGGCACTTGATAATGGATTCGTAAGTTACATCCCTGCAGTTGGTGTCATCCAATGATGCAAGAATTGAATGATTGATTTTCATTTTCATTTTAACCATGGTCATGAAATCAACCTATGAAATACGAAATGGTTCTTTTATGTTAACTTAATAGTGGTTGATTTGGTTCTTTCATTTTTTTTTTTTTGCTTGAAATGATAGATTGCAGTAACTCCTTTATCGCTTTCCCCACAAATTGAATCAGACGTCCAAACAGCTGCGTCAGATTGGATCTCAGGCATGCTTCAAGGAGAGCAATAGAACCTTGGAACCAACATAAAATTTTAGTCAGTCATTTGTATACAGCTGCAGGAGCTATTACGTTTTGTCATCAATTGATTTGTGCTTTATTATTCCCTTTTCTTTTCTTTTTTTTTTAAAGGGGGTTTTAAACATCACTAAGTTGGGTATCTTGGTTTAAGGGAATAGCCTGGTCTAAATTATATGATCACCCGCTTTCCATAAATTGTTATTGTTGTTGTTGTTTTTTTTTTTTTATTTTTTTTTCTGTTTAAATTTTCTTCCTCACCACTTTTTTCCTTTTTTTTAATTTTTTTTTTTTGGATTTATATGTAATCTCATCTTTGTTTACTTAGATGGTCTTCATGATTAATCATTTTTTGAAGTTTACCTTCGTGGTTGACTAATTATTAAGCAACACTATCATAAACCCACAATTCACTAAATTTATTGAATTATTGGGATGGATATTTTCCTTTTGATTTGGAAAGAAATCGAAGTCTGCTATCTGAGCTAAGAATCATGTATCAACAATTCGAATCTAATATTAAGAAAATTTTTTCTTCTGATTTGGGATAAATAGGAATTCAAGTTTGCTCTTTGAGCAGAGGATAATGTGAAATGTTCGAATGATCTTTAAATGTTTTGTATTAACCTTTAATAAATCATTGAACTAACAAATATATATATATATATATATAAACATTTTAAAATCATTAGCCATGAAGGAAAATATCACTCTTCCAGCCTTAAAGAGTTAAGCTTCCCAAAAGATTTATAAACTCCTTATCTTTAGGTTTTTTTTTTTTTTTAAATAAAATTAGGAGAAGTTATATTTTTTTAATTGAATCAATTGGAGTATGAGCATCAAAATCATATCGAATTGTCAGTTCGATTGGTTGAATTGGTGAATCATTGTTGAAATCGATTTGATTTTATAATTAGATTAGTTTTATAATTAAATCATTTTAAATCATTATGAATTAGTGTTTTATATAATAAAATAATAAATTGAATATTTTTTTTAATCATACTGATTCAATACCAACTAATAAATTTAAGTAAAATATGAAAAAAAAACTCTTAAAATATTCAAAATAATTTAAATAAACTCCTCAACTCTTGTTTTACACTATCAAAACTCTTTTATTTTTATATTAATGATATGTTGACATATTTTGAGACGTAAATAATGATATTACAAAAAAACTTACACATTATAAAAATAAATAATTTTTTAAAAAATGATCTAATAAAAAACTTTATTAATTGATACCATAATTAAAAATAATTATAAAATTAATAATATATATAATTAATAAAAATAAAATATTAATAAAAATGATTTAATTATTTGATCATGATCGAAAATAATTAATAAAAGAAATGTATATATGTAAAATTAATAAAAAAATCTACATTCATATAAAAAATATAAAATGATTTTAATTTACTTTTTACTAATTTTCATATAAATATAAATATTTCCTTTTTATTAATTTTATATGTAGATAATTTTTTTATTACATAAAAATTAATTATTATACATTAATAAATAATATTTATATTTTAATAAATATAAATAATAATTATTTATTAGTTATTATTTATTATATTTATTAAAATTTAAATATTTTTTTCAAATATTAAAATATAAAATATAATTTTAAATAATTTTATTTTTAACTAGTAATTAATTATTTTATGTATTTTATATTTTTAAATTTATAGTTTTTTTATTGAATTATTAAACTTTAATTTGAGTTAAAAATTTAAAATTTAAATTTCTAGAATATTTATATTGAATCAATAATTGACCTAATTAATTCGGTGATTGAATCATTAATTTAAGATCCAAAACTTTAAATGATTTAATATCTTATCTGGTTATAATAACTATGAATTGGATCGTGTGAGACTACCTCATTGGGCCTTAACAGGTTGGCCCATTAACAATTCTTTGCTTTCTCGTTTCGTCGCTCTTTTCTACCCGCTCTATAGGGTTTAGCAAAAACCATTTCTTCAAGGAAAAACAAAAACAAAAGCAAGGGACACAGAAAAGAATGGCGACTAAAGCCCTAGTTCGAACCGGAGCGTCGCTGATGAATCGGGTGATGGCGAATCCGGTTTTCAATCCCCACCCGATTTCCAGCAACCGAATCTTGAATCAAGGCTTCCAAATCACTCCTCAGCTGTTATCGTCTCTCTCGAAGCAACAACCCTCTCTCCGTTTGCCTCAAACCGACGCCGATTTCCTCTCTAATGTCTCCTCTCTGGGGTTTCTCTATCCCAATGGCCTCCCTTCACTCCGCTTCTTACTGCCCGATGGTACTCTCTCTCTCTCTCTCTGCTTGATTGCTTTGAAACCAAGTCGAAAACAGTAATTCTAAAGGTTTCAATCTTAGCTTTTAGTAATTCTTAAGAAATCTTCACTTGTTATATGTTTATCTTCCTATTAACTGTTTGTGATGAATGCCTCTGCTTTAATTCTTCCTTTCTTTAATTTCAAATAAGTTCAATTTTATTCAATATTGTATTTGTTTCCATATCCAACAGTTTGTGGCATACCCTTGCAATCTTTTTTCCTGCAACCCCATTATCATTTGTTTTTAAATGGGACATGTTCATAAAGGTTTGCGTGAGAAATCCTGTGATTAAAGTTTTAGGCTTTCCGTTTCGATAATTTGTTAGATGATTTGATTTGCTTCCTTTTGGGATTTCTGCTTTCATTACTGAATATCTTCTGCTGTGCAGGAGATTCATCAAGGGAGCCAATGCTATTATTTCCCAAAAGAACATATCAGCCTAGTCACATCAGGCGTAAGAGGAATCATGGATTTTTTGCTCGGTATAGCCCTCTTTATTCTCTTAATAATCATTAGTTTTTGCTAATTCGTCTGTCCTAGTATCAGTATTGTAGTTGGTGATTTTACTTGAAATATAGCTTGATTTGAAAAATCAGAATGGCTGATTCAGTGGCTTTGATTAAAACCCACCTTATTGTTGATTAAAACCTGTTTTCTTAGAATGGTTGCCTCTGCTACTTGATGAAGAAAGCCCTTTTTTTTTTTGCTTTGTTATACTCACCAAAAGTGTATAATTACTAGTACTTTTTTTTTACACCTGGACAGCAAGGCGACGAAGGGTGGCCGCAGAGTCATTGCTCGAAGAATAGCAAAGGGTCGTGCAAGAATTACTGCTTAGCATCTTCTTTTGTTTTGGTTATGTTTTGATCAGAATCAAATCTAGAAGCTGCCTGAAATACGGTACAAGTAAGCAATTTCACAGCACCTTCTGCTTAATTTTGTTGGGTCTGCCTATCCTGATGACACCTTGGAGGAATATTGTTCTTTCCTCAGATAGATGTTTTCTTTAGTGCTATCTGATATGTCGACCTCTAGATTGTCTTTTTGATATACAAATACTTGCGAGAATTAATTGTTACTCAGAAACAAAAGTTATGAAATGATTGTAGTTCTTTATCTGGAAATGTAGTTGTATTTGATTTGATCTATGTCTAGCTGTTCAGAACAATTGAAACCTTGACTCGATTTAGAGATCAAAGATTGTATTAGGAAGGACAAATTGCCTTTGTTGACGACCATTGAATAATATTCTACCATTGTAAATGTCTAATAATGTAATTTTGATATTATTATTATTATTATTATTATTATGGTTTTCTCTCAATAAAGAAAGTTTCTTATTCTTTATGTCGTTTGTATTTCTTAGGTATTCAATCTCATGATCTAGTGCAAGGTTGATAATTAGGATGCTTGGTATCTAAAAGCAGACAATGTTCAAATTTCATAGCTAAACAACGAAGTACTCAGAATTAGGTATTCAGTCTCATTTGTTGTTTTGCTCTCGGTTCTAAAAATTGTTAGTAAGATATAAGTAAATTGGTATTAGTATTTTGGTATTTTCAAATACAATATATATATATATATATTTGGTATAAAGGAGGTGGTAGCATAGAGATAGGGAAATGAGTTGTAGATATTGTGATTTGAATATTAAACCTATGAGATGTCATATAATGATTGCATGAATCAACTTAAGGCTCCAAAATTCATAAAAATACTAAATATTTTAGAAAAAGAGAAGTAACATATCTAACCTCAGCTTCTTTGGTTGTGGTATTCATCTATTAGTTTTTGCATAGTTTGTCCTTATGAAGATATCACACATTGTGCTCTTACTCGAGTTTGGATTCGTTACAAGAGCTTGCATGGACCTTAATGACACAGGAGCTTGCCTTTGGACCTGACGACCACGGAATATAGCTTAAATTCTTACTCGTGCTTTCTAGGCCCTTAGATTTTGTCTTGCCTAGCATTTCACCTTATTATGTGAAACATAATTTCCTTTGCAAAAGAAGGCATTTAAAAGTGGATGGATAAATTTTAACCAAAACGCTCTTAAAGTCCAGTAAATTGAAAGAAGACATTAAACTCTAATTCCAGTGTTACGATGAATATAGTTTTAATCAAATTTGTTTCAAAACTGATTGAAACCTTCAAAAATTTTTGGGACAATATTGATGAATACAAACAACTATAGTTTTATCAATGCTCAACAATTACAAAAGTTGTATTTCAATTTTCAACGATATTTTGTGGCCAAAACACTCACAGATTGAAAAAAAATCAGAGAACAATTCTTTAAGCTTAAATGCTATTCCTTCCACCCAAAAGATCTTGACAGACACTATTAATAGTTCTCCTAGGATTTTTATATACTTGGTGGATTCAATGATGTCAACCTGAAGCAAGTTTTTTTCAATTCTATTCTAAAAGAACTTGCACAACAAATAAGCACTTAGCCCAACCTAAGATCTTTTGATGTTAAAATCATGAATCTTGGTGATATATAGAAGATGATGATAAAAACCTTTGATAAGATTTGCAAAGAGCACAAATATATCGCTAACTTGGTGAACAACTCCAGAAAGCTAAAAAGATTATGCTTTTACTCATCCTCTAGACTCTAAATCAAATACTCATCCAAGGGCTCTATTTGTCTTTGCAATCAGAGAAAAAAGAAACACATCAAAAGATTCAAATCTCCCATAAACTCTCACTTCTCTCTAAACACAAAAAGTTGTTTAAAACAACAAAAAAGCCTGTAAAATTTTAAAAATTCAAGTTTGGCAAAAAAAAAAAATACCCAAGGCAAAAAGAAAATAAATGCTTTCTTTTCATCTCTTTCTCTATTTTTGTGACAGTATAAGTGAAGCCAGTGTTGGTTTCAGTAATGTATCTGAGTGCTCGATCTAGAGTCATTACTCTTGATTGGATTTCAAGAATAATATTTTGGAAATTAATGAGACCTTGGTTGAAATGATGATTGATTGGTGCAACTTATTTTTTATTATGGTTAAGGGCATTTTGATGAAGAGAATTTTCAATATGTTAGTTTAAAACTGCTTCTACATGAGAAACACTTTTTTAATTTTCGTATTCATCTTTTTCAGTAGGGTTTGAGATTTTTGAAATGTGTTTGTATTGTTCTTTATGGAATTCTTGGAAATGAGGGAAATTTGAGTCATAAGATTGTCCTGGTTGCATCATGCACACCTGAGGTAGAGATAAATGTTGTATTTGTCTTGTGGATGTATAAATAATTGTCAAAATCTGCCTTGAGATCAAACTTAGAGAATATGTTAGCTTGTGACAAGTTTGCAAACAATGACTTTCGATCTAGAGCAGGGAACTTATCATCTACAAGAAAAACATTGAGTGGTTTGTAATTAATCACCAATCTTAATTTTTCACGAACTTGTTTTGAATGTTTATTGACATAAAACACTTTACACGCCCATGGAGAAAAAGTTGGTTTAATTAATCTTTGTACCTAGAGTTGCGAACATTCTTAACTTGCTAGCTTCAAATTATCTGAATTCATTCCTGAGCAATTAGCTTTTGTGGGGTTGGCATTTTCATATTTTTTGAAGTAAAAGGTAATGAAAAAATCATGGTTTTACCAAAGTTGGTGGTTGCATTTTTAAAAAAATTTTAAATGATTTTCTGTACATGAAATTTTAATAAACTTTTATCTAAATTCCTAGAACAAATCTGTTTGAATGATTAATGTGAAGAGGTTTGGAAAATTTTTTTCAAGGTCTGAAATAACTTTCAAATTTTATACATTTTTCATTGAGTTTTAAACCTAATATATTGGTAATAATGTCAAAACCATAACAAGGTCTTTTTGTGAAAGTGATAATCTTAAAATTCTTTGGATTATTTGACAATCTGAGAATATTTGAAAGGTAACAGGATTGTTGATAAAGTCTGTAGGGAATACATTTTTATCAACGATTTTGAAAAATGTTTTCTATTTTTTAAAGGTTTTTGGGTAACACAATAGAATTGGCTATGATTTGAGCAGCACAAGTCTGTAATTGTTATAAGAGAAAAGTGTTTATAGGTAAAAATCTGTACTTAGGCAAATGGCATATTTTGAGGTTAAAGGGTTTGAATTTTTTGAAGTTCTTGGATTGACATATATTCAAAACATTGATCATCTGAATAATTATTAGAGTCTAAGTTTGAGCTATCCTCATCAAACTACTTGATCATAAATAATGATATTTCATTTTGTTCTTCATCAAGGGAGAAAATTGATTCATGGTCATCATTTGAAAGATTAATAACATAAATATTAGTAATATCTTATATCATTTTTATTGATTTTTTGTTTGACTTGGGGTAGTTCTATGCAAAATGTCCTGATTTTTTTGCAAAGAAAGGATTTATTTCCTTTCTGTTTTGGATCTTTTTTCTTTCTACCAAACTTGAATTTCTGGAATCTTTTGGGCTTTTTTGTTGTTTTAAATAGTTTTTTGTGTTTAGAAAAATGAGAGTTTCTGGGAGGTTTGAATCTTTTGATGTGTTCATTTTTTCTGTGATTGCAAAGACATATAGAGTCCTTAAAAAACATTTGATTTAATGAAAAAATCCCAACAATCCTTCTTATTATAAACCAATATATTGCTTTTTTCAATACCTCCATTTCATTTACCAAATCCATAAAAACCCTTTAAAGCCAAAATTTCAAGCCCCGAAAGAGTATATTCAAGTCACAAAGTTTGATCAATGTATTCTCCAACAGGAATTCAAGAGCATTTTATTACTCTTCAGATTTTGAAAAATTTTTCACAATAGTGGTTAGAGCAATGCTACACTCATACCACTTTAGTGCTATCAGAATAGCTTTGACTTTTCATGATAAAAATGGTATTCTTGTATGTACCATGATAGCTTTATTGGATATCAGATTCAAAGACTATAAACATGCAGTACTTGGTATAGTTGAGATAATACTCAATGTAAGAATTGTTTTTTTCACAGTTTTCCTAAATTATAATGTCTTTCCATGATCCGACATTGTTAGATGCTTTAAAAGTTATCTTTTTTGGGATATAATCTACTTCATAAAAGAAATTTAACTTAAAAGAAAAAATTTTCTTAAGTACAGGAGAAGGGGAAAAAGATAAATTAAAAGAATATCTAAAAGTGAAAGGTTGTGAATTATTAGTATTTGATAAATTCATGAGAATTAAAACTCTTTCGGCTTTCCCTATCTAACTCAGTTGTTAAAAACAGAATAGAAGAAAATTTCTATATGGAGTTGTGCTCTGATACCATTCTAGGATATTTTAAGATAACATAGGGATCAATTGTTTGCATTAAGGAAATACCAAACATAAGTAGTCCATAGTTCAGACATATAACCAAGGCATTTTAATCGATGTTTAAGACTAGGTGCTCTTATACATAACGTCAATTGGTGGCCTGACTTTTATAAAAACATGCTTTTCAATATGGTAGCCTACTTTAGTAAGATCTTGGTACAATAACTTTTCTTTAGCTGGATAGATCAATGATTTGTTTAATAATTCTATAAGGTTTTCTGATGCAAAAGACACATAATACTCTGGCAACTGTAGAGCATACTTAACTTATATCATTGCGCACTATGATATAGAAAACTCTCTGATTCTAAACTTAACTATTGACGAAAGAGGAAAAAATTATCAAAAGAGAGGAGAGGTTTTAGCCAAACATATTTTATAAAGAGGATTTTTTGCAAAGAAAAACTTTTTGGGGAAGTTATGACTTGTTCCTTCTGTGATAAGGAGTTACAAATTTATACAAGAGAAAAGTAAGCAAATAGTAATCAAATATGACCTCTAATAATAACGTTGAGTTTATGACTAAATATAAAGCAATCGACTTGACTTAAAGTAACTTTAATAAAGTAAATGTAAGATTCTTTTTACTTTATCAAAATAGCTTTAAAAAAGTAGACTTGACTTGAAAATGACTTAAAGTAGGCATAAAGTTGACGTTAAAATTGATGTTGACAAAAGCAAAGCTTGATGTGCCATCATCTTATCTTGGAATCTTTTGGAGGACTCTGGAAAGCATATTTTAAAAGCATCACACATAATTAAATATAATTGGACTAGAACAGGAAATTTTCTTTTTACTTAAACACTATGATTGAATTTTTAACTGGATCATTTTGAAAAATCTTCAAGGTATTGGATGGATAAATAGTTGTCTACCCATTGAAATAATTTTTTTTAAAAGTTTGTAGGATCTTTGTCACAACTTTGGAACAGCTAGTTGTACATTTTGTATTCAAATCTTTCTTTTATTCTTGCAATATCTTTTAAATTTTGTCAATAAGGATTTGTTGGAAGTTAGGCTAATTTAGATGTATCATGAAAAGTCAAAGTTTACCAATTTTTGAGACAGATCACTTCACTAATTATTGAAGGGGGTTTAGGACTCCAGTTGTCAATGTGACTATACAATTCTTTTTTATATTCTTGAAGGTACCACTACATAGATCTTTTTTGAAAGAAAGAAGTTCTGCTGGGGATCTAAGAGATTTGATTGATTTTGCAATTTTTTGAGGAAAAGTTTGTACTTATAAGCATATAAAAATATCGATTTGTATAGAGGGTACGGATTGCATATGTAGATATTCAAGTGCTCTTGAAAAAAAGCAAAACCTTCATAGATTTGGCAAGGTCTGTGAAACATGAAGATGATATGGTTGTGTTATGAAATGTTTTTGGTGAGGTTGAACTATTTGTGCAAGGTGTTGAACCATCTCAAGAATTTTCCAAGTGCAATATCTTTCTGATTTAGATATTTTGTATTGGTTAAAATGACAGTAGCCAATATGAGTTCTGCTAAGTTAAATCTGATGGCAATGGTGTAAAGCTAACATAAATACCATAGAAGAACCAAAGCTTCTTTGAATAGCTTTGCTATATAGAGAATCTGGAAAAGATAAAAAGGATACTTGGGATGTAGCCCAATGGGTTTGATGCCATGGTCAGCTTTTTTTTTTTTTCTAATGAGTATAGCTTGTATTTTGAAAATGAGATCTTTGGCACAATCGTCAATGGTTTTTTGTACAATTATTTGTTACATTTCAAAAGGGTGATTTTGTACTAGAAACACAAGTTTATGATTTGTGTTTGGGATAAATGGTTTGTAGTTTGGCTAGTAAAGGTAAAGGTAAAGAAAAGGTTTTTTATTGATTGAGGGGCTTGAGAGGAAGAAGGTGAAGGTGAGAGATTCATCATAGAAATGATTGGAATAATCTTCAAAGAACTCGAAAGAAGTTTGTGAAGAGGTCTAGATAACATTTTTGGGGGAACATTATTATTTCCTTTTATATGTGCTAAGGTGGAAAAGTACTTTAAAAATCATTGAGAGAGTCTGAGTAATTATGCTTTTGACATTTTTTTTTTAAATTAAGCATCTAGTCAAAAACTAGCATATCTAGTTTCATGAAAAAATGGTAACTAATTAGGTGAAATTTAAATATTTGGATTTCATATTTTACAGCTAAAATCTCTTTTAATGTAGAGTGAATGGATTTTTGAATCTTTGAATCTATCATTTTTGTATTCACATATTTGTTTGGTTTCATCTTTTTTTTCGATAAGGATTGCCCACCAAAATTTATCACTTGCATCTGTCTGTAATATTTTTTTTCATCTAAAGGAATCTTTAAAGTTAGAAGTGATTGCATTCTTATTTT